GTATGTTTTTGTGTGTTTGATTGGTCACTCAAGTGTATTTTGGTCTATTGGACTTGGTTCAAGCCTCACAATGGGTTAATGGTATAAGTTATGAGTTTTGGGTACTTGGATGGTTGAAAATTTCTTTGAAAAATTGACTTTTACATCTGAGTGTCTTAAATTCTCATATAGTGTTAGATCGTAACGAAACTTACACCATTAGTTAACTTATTGAATAAGCTTCGCATAGGCACTTGAATCGCTCCAATCGAACATCGTATGTAAAAATAGCACTTGTTCGAAGTTCGTCTAGAAAAGTTGTCATGACAGCATTGCTGTCATGGACAGGTGCGCCATGGCACATTTCACGCAAGCTGTGGTGCACGGTACAGCGAGGAAACTTGTCTTTCTGTGCCATAAGCCACGATACACAGACCATGAGCCGTGGCGCATGGACCAAAACACTCAAAAATGACATTTTTGGCTCAATTTTGAACTGGTTTGATTCCCAAAACTTTTCCATGCTTCCAATACCTATATAAATAATTAAGTTTGAGCTCAAACTATCAATTTAAAGGGTTTTTATGAGATCCCAAATATTTCTCAATTATTTTTAAATGATTATTAGTTTTAGCCCTTATATATATAATGTGAGATTAGGAGTAAATCCTTGCTCCTAATTATGATTGGATGTTGTGATTGTGTGGTGAATTTTGGTAATATCAAAGTGGACATTACACATCCCATCCTCTTCTCCATCGCAGACTTCTCCTCTCATGCTCTCCCTTTGTATTTTCATGAGTTGGCACATCCCTATTAATCTAATTTATGTACCATGCACCATGATGCATGTTCAATCCACTATTACTCTTGCTTGTCTCAATAAGATGGCTCAGATATATCCATTTTGGTGGAACCTATATTTGAGTGATCTAAGTTTTGACAAGTATTCATTAATTAATGATATTATGCCTTAAGATTTTAATTAGAGGGTTTGATTTATCAATTTAGTAATTGTGTAAAGTAAAAGCAATTGTACCTAATATAAAATTATGTAAATTATGATCTAATCAAAAGCATAATTAAAATGTGACACAATATGGCTCACCTAGCCTATGTCCTGCCCAAACCAACGAGAGGACCTCTCTAAGAAAATGAATTACATCAAGAAACTTCATTTATAGAGAGAGGCATGATACGCAGGCCGTATTTAAAAATTACAATTCTTGTAAAACTAGAGCTATATGTGTCACCATACCCAAACAATTTCAAGTCAAATAAAGCATAGCAAATAAACAATTCATATGATATGAAAGGTTATAAATTTCAAATTAAGTAGTGCTAGGAATAGTTAGCCATAATAGTCTCGCTATTGAGAATCTATACAAGAATTTCGATCTCAGGAGCTGACAATATAGATCTGCTCCCTCTACAGGTATCCATATGAATAGCTCTTTAACTCAAACAATATGCTAGTGCTCCTAACGTCCGTTTGCCTTTGACCATCATTCTTCCTTTTCTCTAAGGTGTTTCATGGGTTTCAAGGTGTTTAGCCATCAGGACTCTTTCTGACTTTCACTAGGGAATCATGCCCCTTTATATATCATTTATATAGATTAGGATTTTAGTCTTCCTTTAATGAGCCAACAAAAATTTAATTAAATTTATCTCATAAACTTGATCTATGATATCATATCTAATTTAAATTTATCTTATAAATTTAAGTTATAAAAACTAACATGATATTATTTCATATCATGTTAGTTATTAAATTTAATTTATCACATAAAATTAAATTTAAAACTAACATAATATAATATAATATTTATATCATATATACATATTATATTTTATATATATATATATATATATATGTATCTATGAAAATACACACACATGTGTGTGCATTGAATGGATATATATATATATATATATATTATTTTAAATTTTTTATATCATATACATATGCATATATATATATCATATATGTATAGACACACACACATATACACACACAAACATTTTTAAAATATATATGTATATATATATAATTATATTTTAAACTTCCTATTTCACATAAATAAATGAATATATATATATATATATATATAATTCGTTCACCCTTTATTATATTCATTGAATTTAGACATGTTCTAGATTCAAGGAACTTGGATATTATAGCTCAAATTAGGTTGTTCTTGTGTGTGACCCTATGGGCCCATATGAAGTTGATAGTAGGCTAATTACACTGTTAGCCCACAAGTGAAAAGTGACTTCTAGCAAGCTATTGCAACTATCAATTCATATAGAGATTGATGATTTGATGCAACATATCATATAACCGTATCACATACCTTTTGTCACGTAATATTTCGATCAAGTATGAGACATGAAATTGTCATTTTCCTTTACCTGCCTATTACTTTCTCAATCTTTGAGTGGACTAACATAACAATGAAAAAACCCTTTCTAATGTAGTATGGCCATATATTTTCTTAGTCTTACTCATCGAAGGGCCCAATAATATCTCTCTATTAATATGAGAGATAAATTCCTTCTTGACCACTCATATTTCTTTGTATGATTATCACTAAACTTAATCATAGCCTTTATCATCACACGATCAAAGTTGACTTTTGACTAGGTCAAAGTTCAGTAGTCATCATGTAGAAATCCATGATGATCTCAGGTCAAAGGGCTTAGTGATATGGTTACATATGAGATAAGCTTATGACTTGTACCAAGTAACTTTTTCATAGCAAGTCAGTCTAGCACCTTGTACTCTTTTAAGTGCCTATGACTTTGATTTATATCTCTATAATTAATCAAAGTTATAATAGTTTTGTTTCATCTATAATCCCTCTTAGATAACTGATTAGGGACATTTAGGACAATCACTATAGTTCGTTCAAGGATACAGTTATCATAATGAACATGTAATGAATATGATAACAAGAGAGAAATCCATTAAATGACAATGTTTATGGAGGTTAATTGCAAACTTGAGTTATGGAGGAGGACATTGGAGTCGAAAGGTTTTCGTCTGAGTAGATGTAAGACGGAATATTTATATTGTAAATTTGATAAAGGACTATTTGACAATAATTTGGAAGTGAATTTGGGAGATCAAATTATACCCCAAGTAGAAAAGTTTAGATATTTGAGAGCCACTATTCAAAATGATGGCGAAATCAGTGGAGATATTTCACATAGAATTCAAGCTGGGTGGTTTAATTGGAGAAAAGCTAAAGGAGTTATTTATGACCGTAAGGTGCCTAATAAACATAAAGGAAAGTTTTATCGCACTGCTATCAGACCGGCAATGTTATATAGTAGTGAATGCTGGGCTCTAACAGGACAGCAAGAGCATAAAGTTGGAGTAGCAGAGATGAGAATGTTACGATGGATGTGCGGACATACACGTAAAGATAAAATTCGAAATGAGCACGTACGCGAAAAAGTGAGGGTGGTACCTATTGAGGAAAAAATGGTAGAAAATCGGTTGAGATGGTTTGGGCATGTACAAAGAAGACCAAGGGAGGCACCAGTGAGAAGAGTAGAACATATAACTTTGAGTCCGATTAAGAGAGGTAGAGAAAGGCCTAAGAGAACACTTTTGGAAGTTGTTGAGCGCGATCTCTTAATTAATAATATTCCTAAAAGCTTGATAAATGATAAAGCACAATGGCATCTTGCAATCCATGTAGCCGACCCCACCTAGTGGGATAAAGGCTTGTTGTTGTTGTTGTTGTTATTTGACAATGTTAATTGTACAATGATTGGCTTTAGGGTACAATCTCCAATAGCAACTTATGTTCTTATAAATACTAACAGTGATCTTAGGTTTTGTTGTTATCAAAAGGGGAAAATGTTGAATACTTGGTTGTAATGAAAACAAAATTCAAGAAAAAGTTTTGTTTATACAAACTATAACATTAGTTATGAAAAAACCACTCCAAGAGAGCAAAGGAGCAAGAGAAGGAGAAGACTTAGTTGTACATGTGTGTTTTATATTCTCTTAGTTATAATTGTTAAAAACTAGTTAAATAAGGGAGTTTGCATTAGCATATCATGATAAAACATATTGAGAGACAAGCCTGAGGCTCTCTGTGTAATCTCTCTCTCACACGCACAAACTCTCATATTTTGTTTTGATACACTTGATTACTGTTTTATTTGGGAAAAGTCTTTGAAAAAATTTAAGAATACCGAATTCATTACCTTCTAGAGTGCCAGCTTATCTAACAATCCACACATTGAATTTTATTAATTATATAGGTTGTTAGACTTTAAATGTCACTTGCCCAAAACATAATAATCATCAACAATCATGCATAGTATACTCCCTCTGGTCCTTATTATAGGACACCTTCTGTAAGCATTTTTTTTTTTAATTTCTAATATAAGCTAGGCACACTAGCCATAGGATATTAATTATGTTTTTCCAATGTTAGTCAAATTGCATTTAAATCATTAATTATGAAAGAGAATGAAATGCAAATTTAAAAATGTTTCATCTAAACAGGGATAAATTTAGAAGTTTATTCTTTTTTCAAACAAAGTTAATAATTTAACCACCTTTTTTTGGATATACAGTGAGATAACACGGAGTATATTCACAATATTTAACAATGTAACATGATTATAAACAATTGGTCAACATCTTAAGCAAGTATATTAATTATCATCTCCTTAGAACTTAACTCATCAAAAGTTTTAATCATATTTTTTTTTCAAAACAACTATCATTTTAAAATTTCAATGTAACATCAATTATTGTTATTTAATTTTATCCTAGTCATAAATGACAATAATAAATTAATAATAGGTGGAACTCAGGTTATATTACAATATTTTAATTTAATATAAAGATATATTAGTCAAATGCCATTTCTTTCTACACTTTAGGCAATTTATTTATTTTTTAATTTAAATGAAAAATCTTAAATAAGAATTAAAAATTAGAGTAGAGTAAAATCACATGCTATTGCAAGAGTACTGGACAAAAAAAAAATGCTTGATTTCCATTGCTTTTAGTGTTATTCATGGCATTTGATCATATATGCCAGCAGTTACAGCTTTTACAATAGAACGCCAAAAAACAAAAACAAAAAAAAAAACAAAAAAAAACAAAAATTGTTACAATTTGCATGAAATTTCTTCTGGGAAATCACATGATAAGGGGCTAAGTTTGCTAATCCCCAAGAAAGAGCAATAATAATTATATAAAAAAAAAGAGAACAACAATAATAGAAATCATATATAAATTAATAATTATTCAATACGCAGACAAAAGGCCTCAGTTTTCAATTCCGCTTGTCCATCCCAAGCGTGTGCTTCACAGAATCCACTGCACCTTGAGCCATGTTCTTCACTTGCTCTCCAGTCTGCAAACAATATTATAATAGTTAGAAACAAATGATAGATTATCAAAAATTTGATATTATACCTAGTTACAACATAGAAAATGGAAAAAAGTCATACTTTTTTGTCTCAACAGTACAACTATTACCCCATTTTCAGTTTAATTTCTCCTTATAATTTAAATAATTTTTATTTGATAATTTTTATATGCCATTGTCATCTACTATATCCATACATGATAACTTGATCATTATCATACGTGTATATATATATATATAGAGTAATTATAAAACATGTAATTGTTTATATCATCGTAATTGGATTTACTTTTTATAATTTAAAAATTTTAATTGGATCACTGTCATTCTCAAAATTTTTATTTAAATTAGTTTTTATTCTTAAAATTGTAAGTATTAGTTATAGTCGAGTCCAAGTAACTCAAATATATGATAAAATAATGATGAAAATATAGTTACAGTGAGTGAAACTATAGGGATCCAATTACAAAGTTTTAAATTACGAATATCAAATTAAAAACTAAAAAGTGAGTGAACTTAGAGGCCAAATATTTGGCAGAATAATTTTTCGGAAAAAGGATAAAAAAAAGAAAAATGGAAGGCAGTCTGCAAATGTTAAATTAAAATTAAAATTATTACATATTTAAAAATCCATCAACTGAATATGGAAATATTGTCATTTTTATTTTCATTGATATTACTATTCTTTTTATAATTGCTTTGGGGAATTCGTAAGAGTTTAAGCTAGTTATTTTTATTAATTAATATAGAATATAAAATCTATAATAAGTTATACTTTTCAAAAACCCGGAATAGTAATTTTAACCTTTAGACATTATAAGAAATGCGCCAAAAAATGTACATTTATATTGAATTAACCTGTTGGAGAAAGCCAGCAGCTTCCTCCCTGTGCTGCTGAGCTTGCCCTCCAGATGAGTCAACAGCTTTAGAAGCCTTGTCCATGGCTGCACTTGCTGAGTTCTGTGCAGCACTTGCTGAGCTCTTTGCTAAGTCTGCACTTTGGTCTACCCTCTCCTAATTAATTAACAACCAAACATTAATTAATTAGACACATCTCAAAAGTTTAGTTTTACTAAAATGTACAATAACTTCAGAATCAGAGATATTACATGTAGATGATGTTTTGCAGAAAAATAAAAAAGGAAAAAAAAAAAGTTACTATTGATGAATTCACCTGAGATTGGCCAGCACTGAAGCTTCTATCCGCACTGGACATGGCTTATGGGTTTGGCATTTGAAGCAATTAAGAGATAAAAATAAATAGATATAAGATTAACTTGTGCTGTAGATCTTCTCAAGAAGGGCTGTGCGCGCGCGTGTATATATACACTTGTGAGAGTTGAAATTAAGAAAACATGTGGTTAGAAAAAGAAGCATGCTTTTTTCTACCATTATTGAGCGATTATTTCTGCTCTTGAAAAGGGCATTGAATGGCTTAATTCGTTGGGAGAGAAAATGAAATCAGCCTCTAATTTGAGAGAATTATGGATCACCTAACCAGAAGCTGGCATGCATAATAAGTATACAATTATCTATTATTTATATATATATATATAAACAATCAATATTTGATTACTATATATCAAATGATATTTTCTGTGAGCAAGAGTTCGGATGCGCTTCCAACTGACGGTCACTAAGGATTAGGTTGGCTTCAAATCTTATAGGCTAATCGCAAAATTATTTACAAACTATCAATCAATAAATTAAATTTCTCACATTAATAATGTGATTTAAGCGCATTCATTTACAGATGTTTGTCAAATCCTTGCAAAGACTCCACAAACCTTTTATTGGAAAAAAAAAATAGTATCTTTTTATAGACTAGGTTTATGAAGGAAACATACTTGTTTTCTGTACCGGTTGGAATCTCTATCTAGACGAACACAGTTACACGAACTCTGTCTCTAGTTCACAGCAAATACACTGAGGAAGAGTGGAAGAGAGAAGAAACGAGAGAGAATTTTTTGGATGTAAAGACTATGTCACAAAAATGGTTTTCATTTACAAGCTTTAACCCATGTATGTAGGCAATGCTTTGGGCGTGTATGAACAGTGAGTTAAATAATTGTTCCCTCCAATTTTCAAGCACAAAGGGAAAACTGCACATCATGACCCAAAACTTTCAATCTCAATATTTTGATAAGAAAAAAATTTGGTGTGCACTCATCACTCAAACAGTCAAATTAAACTAAGAAACACTCTAATGTGTATAGGAAGCAATTTAAGCTAAATCTCTCATAGAGTTGATTAAAAATTAAACTTTAAGTTTTTTAAATCTACTAAGAAAGGAATAATTTGATTGGGTTTTTGATTGATTAGTAATTAAACAAGAAAATATTAAATGAAAACTAATTGTTTTTGTATTTTCAAGATTTTGGACAGATTTGAAAAATGTTGAAATATGTGATTAAATTGCAAAAAATGATGGTCTTCCTTGCTCTGTCTAATTAATTTTCTCTTAACCCCTATTGGTTTTAAGGTCATTCTAATAACCAAAAGGAATTTAGCACTCTTAGCTTCTTTAGATTAACTAGGACACTAAATTAACCTTTAGAACTAATTATGCTTAAAGAAAACCAATTGATAATGAAGCTAATTGCCAATTCCATCCTTTGACTTAACCAAATGAGACCTCAAATTAATTAAGAAAATGATTAGCCAACCCCAAGTTTGCTTAATGTACAACCATGAGTCACATGCTCACAAGAAACAACTAGAAATTAAATGCAATAAGGGATTGAATAAAATTAAATTTGAACAACACCAAAATCATTATGACAGCACCTCAATTGGAAAATAAACAACATAATAACCTATGAAGACAAAACTACAATGTTCAATTCCAAAAACTATTGTCACTACAATGTCATAAGCATCAAAATTTAAGGAATTAAAAAGGAGGTAAGAGATAAGAGAAACTCCCAAAATCCAAAAGCTCAAAGAGAGTTCATCCATGCATCCTAGGAAGAGAAAACAGGCTAGCCACTCCTCATTTAAACCTCCATATCTCCTCCTTAAAGATCATCAAGAAACCACCATGGAAGAACACTTGAGATTTGGCCAAGATGGAAATGGACTAGATGATAGATTTTTTTTAGTGGGTTATGGTGTAGACTATTAAAGGACTTGAATGATGGATATGGATAGTGAAATGGAGGGGTTTAAGATTGATAAATGGTGGAAGAGGTTCTAGGGTTCATGTGTATTCTTGAGAGAAAAGATGAAGATGAATGGAGGCGTAGAAGATGAGTAAAGGATGTGAACGAGGGGGCTATAATGTTGTTGCATGAAATTCTAATGTTTGATGCTCATTTAGATCAATCTAATAGCTAGAAATCATGCCCACCAGCTGTCCTAAAATGATGCGAGCCTTATGTGCATCTAAGGGTCCTTTCACATGGTGCCTGGTATATGGCCATGAATTTTGGGAATGAATTATTTAAATGGTAATAAATGAAAATGAAAGGCAACTAATAATTTGAAAGTGAAAGGATGATATAAAAATAATATGATGGGGATGATGGAGAAATGCATAACAAAAATAAGGGAAAAGGGCATTGAAATTGGAAGATAGAATTATCATGACTATTCTTGTGCTTTCTTGAGATTTCATTAATTATTTGTGACCTTTTGATAATCAAAATAGCTCATCCAAGGCTCCAATTTTGTGAAAGGAGCTTCCATCATCATTCAGGAGCTTCCCATAGCCTAAAACACATAATGAGCTCATTAAATAGAAAGTTGTGCATAAATTATTCTATTGCCTTATGAATTTATCCAAGTTAGATGTGAATTATGAAAATATGGTGAAGTGAAAAAGTGATAAAATAGAAGATTAGGGGATGAAATTTGTATGGGAAGTTTCCTAAGAGTTCTTGATTACAAAAGGTAAACTTAACACACTTTCAAAATTTATTGAAAGTACAATTAAAGTACAAAAGTTGTATACTTTAAAGGATTTTTTAGTGAATAATTCACAATTTAAATATAATTAATAACTCACAATGTAAATTTAATTAACTCAAATTAAACTCATAGGATTAGTGAAAAACAAAGATTAGCAAATGATGAATTTTTTATTAAATTATTTTCAAAACTTACAGTTTTTCCCCTAAGCTATTAGAAATTTGCACTTTTGCCCTAAAAGTTTTGGAAATTACAAAAGTGGCCTAGATGATTTAAATGCTTCCAATATGCACAAAATACCCTTAAAAAGTGTCAGGGGAAATGATATGAAAAAATGAAATTTATTAGAGCCCATTCCTTATTGTGGGCTTATCTTTGGGCTTTATTACCTCCTCCCATATCCTCTTAATACAAAAGAAGATTAACAAAATCACCATGCTAAATATACCAATCATAAATCATATATTTAGTTTAAAATGCTTGGGCCCAAGACTCATTTGCAAAATGATCAAAAATCATAATGCATTAGAGCAATACGCAGTAGAAATAATTCATATACCTTAATCTTAATCATTGCATGCATTCAAAACTTCAAAATTAAATTGGAAAATGGGTCATGCGCCATGGCGTGTAGTACATGTGCCATGACATGTGGCATAGAGCCACTCGCCTAACTTTTTTGTGACATGAGCCACGGCGTGAGACACCATGCACCACAATGCACCAATCTGAAATTTCTACTATCATTTTGATAGCAAAATGATGAACTTCGGGCATACGTCGTTTTCACATACAACGTCCGATCTACGTAATTCAAGTGCCCACATGAAACTTATCTTATAAGCTAGCTGATGAGAAAGTTTTAAACATGATCTATTGGTCTGATCAAAATTTTGGACACCCAAGTGCAAAAAGTCACTTTTTATGAAAACTTTATAGACCCAAGCACTAAAATTGATCCCTTACTGTCATTAGACCACACAAGAACTTGAATAAAGTCTAAATGAATCTAATACACCTGATTAAGCAAAATATATACCATACACACACATATACTAAAATTTGACTCCTCAACGGCCAATTTTCACATTTCATAAATTTTCACATTTGCCATTACTTGGCACTACATGGCCCACTTAGCCCTTTTCTCATCACAATTACATGTACCCATATTCATAACATTATTACTACTCAATCTTAGCTCCAAATTACTCATTTCATCATAATTTCACACATGGGCTTAAGATTCACCAACACTTACAACATTTTCAACACATACACACCTAAATCTTAGCCCTTGATTCATTTTACTACATATATACACAATTGGGCTAAGATTTCACAAAATCACTACTCAAAATATGTATGCAATCCAATGGCAACTTATCTACACATATATAATCAAGATTTCAGTTTATTACATAATCCTCTGAGTTCATACGGCTTCAACAACTCTAAGCCAGGCCGGACTATTTTTCCTTACCTTGATCATTGCTTTGTCCTATAAAAATGTAACCATGGGGGTGAGATAAAAATCTTAGTAATAGAATAATCACTCCTATTGACTATTACATGCAACTATATGAAAGTAAAGCATGATATACCCTTAATCATAACATAATCAAATGTTTCATTTCAAATATCATTTATATCAATCATTTTATCACTTTTACACTTGTTTCACCATTTTTCTCCACTTTTCCACTAATACAGCATATAACAACATATAGCATGATCATTACTGACTGAACCTCTAAATCACCCTGACATGAAACCATATGCTCGCCTTAGACCAATGTATACCCTCATTAGTTCTAAGCTCACCTTTAGTAGTAGAATTACTTGGCCAAAATTGTTCTATCTCACTTCCGGACTATGATTTCCCCCAATACACAAAATAGGGTGTCATTGACTCGAACACCGTATCACACAGACACTAAGGAGTCTTAAATATCCAACACCGTACCTCAATAAGTACTAATAAGATCTTTTCTAACATTGCACCCTATCAGGCACTAAGAAGAATATGCCATATGGTCTCATCACCACCTCTTCACTTAAGTGAACTCCCCCTATGATCATGCTTCTCGAACCATTCATAGGTTCCTCATTCACCACCTTATATTCTTTCTCATAAATAACATATATAGATATTACATACCATTTAAAATCACATATTTCAATGCTTAATTTCAATCAAAAGCTATTTCATGAAATATTCACGAGATGCCATAAATCATGCTTGGATGAAAATTATTTTATGCACTATATAACAAACTCACACACAGTTACAACAAGTAGTCAAATAAAGGAAGTTATTCAGTTTCCTTAACCATTCTGTCACTAGAAAGGTTACTCGTGAATTTCAACCACTACT